TACTAAGTGCTTCCTCCAACCCTGATCCTCAGTTTGCAAAGACAGAAGTCTCGAAAGCTACTGTTTATCAGCCTCAACACACATGACAATAAGATATTAGTTCCGTGAGCCAGTGGTCTAGTTAATACCACTAAAATCGCACAGGCAGTAATGAACTACTGTAGATCCTGATACTTTTAATCACAACTGGTTTGTTGACACTGGAAACGCCAAATGAGCCAGTACAACCAAATGTGCCTCAAACAGCACTGAGGTTCCAGTCACCAAAAGGGAGATGGCTACATCTGGTAGTTTATTATAATTACATAAAACAATGCATACAGTGGCTGGAATATAATATCTCAGTAGGTGACTTTGCTTTTCAAAATTTTATGGAAAGGGAGCCAAAAACCAAGAAGCACACTTCTCTTTTACAAATGTCCAAATTTAAACAGGGGAAGGAATTAACTTCAGGCCCCCAATAAATACATAAGCATAAAAACATGAGATGTGTCTCAATTGTACTGCCTTATTCTTATCATGGTGCTTATTAAAATTCAGACAGAAGTATCAAAATGACAAGATTAACCTAATCTAATAAAATCATAGTTACTTTGAGGCTCAGAATTAATAAAAGTTAAGATTCTAAGTACTGTTTTTACTTGAAGAAAATTTATGTTTCTAATGTAAAAACAAGACATGAAACATTTAAATTTTAAAAATAAGGGAAATCCTTTACAGTTTTACCAATAAAATGTATTCAAAACCAAGATAAACCTTTCATCGTTTCTTACAACAAATTCATGGGTCTACACCATGATGATTTCATTTATTTTGTCAGTGGAAAAGGCACAATGCCAGTATTCTGTTATTCATACATCAAAATAATGATATTTTAAAATGAGGCAAGTGAATTTTGAAAGAAGAAAAATACCCAAGGGAATATGATTAGGGGGAAAATGTTACTACTTCTCTGTAGCCACATACATATGACCTGCACTGTCAGAGGATTTGGAAGTACTGACCTAGAAATCACATTACTTTCAAAACTCCAAGATTATATGTTAACAAAACTAAATGGTGTCAAATACCCACTGCTCTAATATGAAATGTTTAATTTACAAGTTCCTAAAGAATTGAAAAAATCCAAAGAAAACATGTGATTAGGTTAAAGTGTAGCAAATCCGTGATGAATTACCAGAGATATTTTTCATGTTAAGAGAATAACCTTTTAAATTGAAGATTCTCGAACCTTGAAAGAAACCAGGCACCGAGTGAGGTGAATTAGTATAACCCAAAGTGTGTTCATTATATTTGCTACTGTATTATTTTACTATTGCATCTATAATGCCAACTTGGAGAACTGTTTCCTTAGCCTAGCATCATTTTGGCAGTCAAAAGAATCCAAGAATTTTCCAATCTACACACAACATTCAAAAGAATATTCTTATCGTAGGCACAAAACTATAGCATGCTTCATGTTAAAAGTTATATTCCTTACATTAAGTAATGTTTATCTTTATAGGTACTAAGGGGAAAAGTAAGAAGTAAAGTTATATTACCAAAAGTCTTCTTTTAAAGCTATTGAAAAGCTTCCTACAATCTTAAAGGAACGAAAGGAAAAGAAATTAGATCCTCTTTGATTTGGACTTTGATTATTCAAAGTTATTTAGTAACATTCCAATTTAGAATGCAAAATAGCATTCAAAGGATTATTCAGCAGTCACACTTTTAGGTGAAACGCATGCAAGTTTTCAAATTTTAGACATGTGAAAGGTGCGTGGAGGCAAACATTATCATAGAGTATTTCTATTCGGACTGATCTCTGTTGCTATTTCACACACTGATGCCAATTCAACACATAAAATCAGTTTGGTCCATGGCCCCATAAAAACTGGCAACCAGAAAGTTACCCGCATTTGAAAACTGAGTAGCTACCTTCCAGAAGTTACTAGCAAGCACATAGATTTTAACGGTAGAAGTACTGTAACAGAAAATAAGTTTAACATTTTTCTTGTGTGCTTAGATTTACAGATGCTTATAGTGTCAAGGAAAAGTAGCAGATAAATTTCCAACAGCTACACAAGTTATTTGTAACAGGTTACACAATAATATACTTAATCCCTGTGATCAAAGTGTATTTAATTCTAATTTTACCTAACTGAATTTATTTATATTATACCTTTCCTTAAGCTAAAATGTATTTACTTCATTTATAATATCCATTTTTATCAACTTATGTATCCACTGAATTTTCTTCTAAAAATGTTTAAGTGTGTCTAAGTTCCAATGTTGTCTACTTTGTTCAAAAGATTAAAGTCTTTTGATTATATGACTAGGTTAGCAAACTCTTAATGCTTTCTATATAAAACTAGAAGTTTCAGCTAACTTATTTTACAAAATTATATATGAAAAGGAAATGCAATGCTGAATTTATATATACCTGGCCCTATAAAATTTAATAAACCTATACAAATTTATGAAATATTTCCTCACTACCTTTTGTGACAAACTGTTGGGTTTTTTTCTAAAATTACTTTTTATTTGGACTTTGTAAAATTACATCTAGGTTGACTTTTCAAAAGGTATCTTCTTATTCAACATTTCTGAGTTAAAACTGGCTACCACAGTCCACTTTTTAAATGTTATTCTTAAAAGTAAATTTTATTGTAGTGATATACTAAGATAAATGCCTCCAGAAACGTCTGAGAATGTTAAATGTTAAGAGCTAAATTTCTTGAGTATGACAGGGTACCTCAGTCCCTCTTTTCATCAAAATGATAATGATCAAATAGAAAAGTATTTCCACAACCATTAAACTAGCACACTCACTTAAGAATACTCCTAGTACTTTTAAATTCTACGGATTAACTCTGGGCAGGTTCAAAGCCACCATGGCATCTGAGCAGAATAGTTTTCTTCAGGCAGGGAAGATCTACTAAAAAACATGACCTGTGACAGAAATCAATGTGCTAATCTCAAAGCAAACAGTACCAAAAGCATAAAACAGAGATAACCTGAGATAAAACATCTCCAAACTAACTCAAACTAGCTTGACAGGTTAAGAAGAGGGGTTAGGGTAGGCGGGTTGCTGGTTCTTTCTGTGTTAACCTGGGCAAGACTCAGACACCCACGTATCCAAATAAATGAGTACCACCAGGAGAAGCTCACGCTGTGAACTTTGGAGTGACAATCAAGAACAAAACGTCCCAAATTCAACTAACTCACTGTTGCCTTATTTAATAAAGTGCTACAGTTTACAACTATATATTCCTGTTTCATTTATGCTGTCTAATAAAGCCCAAAAGGGAATAAAACCAACCAACATAATGAGAATTGCTTTTAACACCATCACAACTGGAAAGCTTGCTCGATTTGTCTTGTCAGCTTTAATAAAAGACATCTCCTCTGGCAGGATGGCTTCTCTTTCTCTTTTCCTAATAGTGGTAAGTGGCATGTCAAGGAAGAAATAGCCTCCCATCCCACCACCCACTGCCCGAGACTTAAACTTTCAGCGATGTCTCCACTTCTACTAGGCGATGCCTTTAGGATTTGGGCTACCTGGGTATGACTGACGACCCTGGATTAGCAGGGCGGGGGACTCCCGCTCAGCTCAGCAGCCCGTGGACCGCTCTTGGGGAAATCCGTCCATCTTCATCTGAGCTGACACTACTCAAACTGGGGATTCTCCTCACGCAAGCATAGTGAAGGAAGCCTGCAGGCCGATGGCAGGGGCCAGCGGTGGAAGAGCTGGAGGCGCCCGCCAGGCCCCTCTCCCCAGGCTCACCGGGCGCGCAGCAACCGCAAGCTCATGCCTCGGCCTCCCGCTTCTTTGCTCCCTATTTTCACTCCAGCCCAGGGAAAACCCTGTACTTTCAGATACAATCGATGCGACTTCCCTTTTAGGTGGGCACCAAGACCAGTTCAGCGTTGGAAGGTGGCCTGTGTCCCACGGAAACAGAGTGATGTGGGCCCAGTGGGGCTGGATGCTGCCCACAGGCCGAGGGGAAAGTCCAGTTTAGGACTGCCCTGGCCCGGGAGGGATGCTCCAGGCGCGCCGGATGACCTCCCCGCCCCCGCCCCGCCGCGGCGCTTCCAGGGTCCGAGAGCTCCGCACGTCTGCGGCTGGCCGGGGTCCAGCACGTGCGCTCGGGCAGCCCCAGGCGCCCACCTCTGGCCTCCCGCGGGCTTCGCGGACGCCTGCAACGCGGGTCCGGGTAACCGCGGCGCGTCCCTCCGGCTGCGCAACGCCAGGCCGCGGGCGAAGGGCTCCCGCCTCCCGGCTCGGCCAACTCCAGCAGCTACCTCCGCGCCCATGACGTAGCCGGTATTAGATCAAACTTTCTACGCCCCGAGCCCGCTGGAGGAGGAGGGTCGGGCGGTGGGAGAATCCTCTCCATTGCCAGGCGCGCCGGGCCCAGACTGACTCCGGGGCCGAACGATTTTCTGGCAGTTAAAGAGAAAAATAAAAACCTAAGGCTTCCGCTTCCCAGCCCCCTTCACTTCCCCTAGCCCGCGCTCCCTCTGTGCGCACTGGGTAAAGAGAAGGAAAATTTTTAAAAAGAAAAACAAACAAAAACTTTAGGGTTGTTTGGCGGGTTCACTCCGCAGTCCCTGCGCGCTCACGCCCCAGGTCCGAGCCGCCGGCGGCGCACACCGGGCTCCCCGCGCCCAAGCCGGGCGCCGGATGGAGTTGTCGGTCCGTGTGCCGCGCCGGGCGGCGGAGACGTCCCAACTCCCAGGCTCCCGCCCTTTTCCGAGCCTCCCCGCACCCTGCAGGGGCAGCGGGTCTGCGCAGCCCAGGGGGCTCCCCGGAGCACCCGGCCTTCCCGCGGTAGCTTAACAAAGAGGGGCGCGAAGAGCGCGCTTCCCGCCGAGCTCCTCGCCCGCAGCGTCCGGGGAACTGGCTCGGAGGGCGCGCGCTCTCGGCGGCCGGTGCGCACGGTCCCCGCGGCTGCCGCTCCCGCCCCAGGGCCCGGAGGCCCGGGGGAGCCCTGGCTCTCCGCCCCCCGCCGCCTTACCTGGGGTTGCTGCTGTTCCAGTAGACAGCGTAGCGGTCGGCCACGGCCTTGGAGCCCGGATCCTGGCTGAGCACACACATCCAGAGCACCAGAAACACCAGCGTCAACATCTCCACGTGCAACATCACGCCTGGCCAGCGGCGGAGCCCCCGACGCGCCGCTCCGGGGAGAGAGCAGGGATCCGGAGGGAGGGAGGGAAGGGAACAGAGAGAGAGAGCGGGCGCCGAATAAATATGAATAAATAAAATGAAGGGGGGCGAGAAAGCCAAGAGGCGCACACCGAGCTGGGGAGGGGCAGGAGAAGGAGAAGAAAAGGAGGCGGCGGAACGGGGAGGGGGGTGCAGACAACTCGTACCCCCACCGGAAGGCTCGGGAGAAAAAGGAATCACAAGATGGAGAGGAGCGCGCGTGTGTGGTGGCAGCGGCGAGGGCGGGGGAAGGGGTGCCAAGCTGGGTCTCGGGCGGCGGCTGCAGGCCGGTCACCCCGGGAGAG